AAAATCTCCCAAAATATCTCATATTGCAAAACTATTGATATATAAAAGATTTTCAGATAGCCTGAGAACATGAAAAGCTGCATGAACCAAGATATAGATATGGATAAGTCAAAGCTTAAATATTTCTTATTTCTATTTTGTTTGGAAATATAGAGGCATACGATCATGAGGCCAAGTCAACCTGGGGCTCCTGCTTTACTGTAACACACTCATGACAATTCTACTTTATAGTCACCTTGGGCAGGAAATATAGAGGACAAGTGCAACTGTGTATTCCTCTTTCTTTCTTGTGCATTTTATACATCTGAATACAGTCACTGGGCAGCACTTTGTCTTCTGCTTGTATGTATATCGAGCACACAGTTTTATAAATTCTTTGGCAGTGGTCAAACAGATTTAGATGAGACTGGATTCCACGCTGCAGGGAGAGCTGACCTTGTGATTATACTTTCATTAAGCATCTTGCCATGTGTACAGCATAAAGTGAAATGAGGACAAAGTTAAACCTGAACACGGTCAAACTAAAAGAGTGGAGCAAATAAGTTGAAGAATTGATTTAAAAGCTTTCCTAGTTTCTCAGATATCATGAGCGTATTAAATTCCTTTTGGGTAACTGTTAGCTTGCAGTTGTTTATTCTGGACAAATGAAAACATTATATAATTATGGCCAAAGAACAACAGAGTGTTTTATATATTCTTGGCCTTCTGGGAAAAATCTCTATTTGGCCACCATACATGACCCTTAAGTCATGAACATTTCTAAATGGAGATCATGCATGCAAGGTACAACTCTAAGGAAAGGACAATGCCATTTTCATCACTGCAGTTCCCACATCCAGCACAGTACTTGGTGTTTAGTACATGACTGCTTATCCAAACCACCTGTTTTCATACTGCTACCCTGTGCTATGGACCAGCTACCAATCTGACATTTCAAACTGTTGGGATTGTCATTAGTTTATGAAGTCCTTGGTCTCACGACACTTACACATTTTGAGACAGTCTGTTTTCTATATAGACCCTTTAATCAATGTGCTAAAGAATGAAACCTAGGCAAATACAGTTTTTAGAGGGTAATGCATATTTCAAACACTACTTACTGGCAGACATTTATAATTAAATTAAATGCAAGTAACATTACTTGTGTCATCAGTAAAAGATGGTATTTTCTATAAAATATTTTTAAATGCCTAATATAACACTCATCTTCCAGAAAATGATAGTTGATCTTTGCAGATGTCAAGTTAACATCCTGAACTTGTGTCTTTACTGGGACATGAACTTAAGGTATGGAATTATGTGTAGTGACTTGTAAATTCTTTTCATAGGTGAGCGGACTGAACCTTAAAACATAATGTTCTACTGATTATGTAACAACTTTCTGAACATGTTTGAATAAGACTTATAGGGCAAAAGTTGAAAACCAAAGCTGATTAGAAACATAGTTCACTTAATAATTACATTAATTTTAATAATTCTGCTTCCAAAAAGTAGCTTGATTAAATGATTTGGGTCTTAGAATCAGCATTTGAAAAAGATTAAATATTTGTGTTGTAGTAGTAGAAAAGTCAATTTTACATCCTGAAACAATTTAAAATTTCCCCAGATGGTTCATCCTATAGATTCAATACATAATGTCTACTACTAACTTCTTCCTGTCTAAAGTGAGTAGTATCAGAGCCTGAGTTCAAAGAGAAACCTGATTTTCCGATTTAAGAAAAATCAGAGAGAAAGGAGGTTATAAATCTTGCATGGTGCATTTTTATGTATTTTCTGAACAGCCCTAACAAACAACTTAGAACAGAGAATATCATTACAGCCAAGGAGATACACCAATCTATGAGCTTTATCAAAACAGAACAAAATAATAACATATTAATTTCTACAAAGTGGCAAAGTTCAGGCATTCACAGAAAAACTTTGAAATATAAAAGGTCATTTTTCCTAAAACTGACAATGGTAAGGGTTAAATTTTTCTGTTAAGTGCCTTAGGGCATACTGAATTCATTAATTCAGTCAATTAACTTTTTGTTACCTTACTTTCAATATGTAATACAAGATGGCAAGTGACCTAATTCTCAACAAGTGAGTGAAAATGCTACAAAAGAAAGGCAAGAAAGCACAAACATGCTACCCAGAAAATTACTAGATAACTGAATGAATATCCTTTCTACTAACAGACTGAATTTTTTTCAAAGTGTGCAGTAGAAAATAACAGAACCGGTAAAAGGGTGGGGGTGGGGGGGACATAACAGAACCGTCCCCAGACAGAAGAAAGCTGAAGTTCACCAAAATGAGACTGCTGCCTTTTAGAACTGATGATGTGATCAAACCAAGAAAATTTAAAGGAGCACCAAACGATGGGCAAAACCAAGAAGCTATTAAAGATCCCTGAAAGGTTAAAATAAACCTAATGAAATTTTATGTACTCCTTTATGGGATTTAATCCAGGTCTTTGCATTGAACTACATCCATGTCTCTTTTTAAAGTTTTTGTTTGTTTTTAATTTGGAGGCAGGATATTGCTAAATTATTAAGTTGTCCAGTTTGGACTCAAACTTGTAATCCTTCTACTTCAGGCTCCCAGAGTGCCAGGACTACACCTCTGTGCCATCACGCCTGATTTCATGGACCTTAACATCAGTCATCCAATACAGTAATGGCATAAGGATTAAAGTGAGCAAAAAACTCAGCTAACTAGAAATACAAGGAGCCGCAAATAAGTAGACTTTAATGACTTTGCTAACAAATTAAGGGCTGGAGATTTAGCTCAGCGGCGTAAGTGCCTGCTTGGCAAGCATGAGGTCATGAGTTTGATCCCCAACACCCCCTTCAAGAAATGAATCAAAAGAAATCATCAAAAGGCCAACAGCACAAGGACTTCACAATTTAAACACATTTCAACATATGATGAAGAATTACAGAGGGAACTTTGTTAGCATCAGATCCTAAGGACATTTTCAGAGACTTAGTCGGAAGATGTTAATAAATCAGTACAAAGTCCACTATCTAAACCTACAGCTGTCAGCATAAGTACACAAAAATGAATGGTAGTTTACTGAACTATTTATTGGACTTTTATGTATCATACTATACTTAAGTACACAAGAGACTTGTGACTAGATTTGAGAGAAACACTCACTCATCATTAACGGAGACATTTTACACAGGAGTATAATACTATATATACAATCTTTATGTGGACAGAATTTCCCAAACTGAAGATAAGCAGTCTTTTAAAAAGCATGTATATTTCTAGGGCACAGGGGAATTTCTTCATCTTAAATTTCCTTTAATAGACATTAACAAAGGTAGGCACATATAAAAATGTTTACAACATCTATTTAATTTAACCTGGTGGAAGATTACTAATGACTTTTGTATGCAATGCAGTGCAGAAACAGTGCACACTGCTCAAAGATTCTGCTATGCCTGAAATGGTCTTTCCAATGTCTTAAGATCTACATTCTGCTCTGCACCCTAGACTGGTATCCAATTCATAAAGATTTGTTTTAAAACGCAAAAGTGGAGTAAGAATGCACACAGAAAAACCTCGGGGATGTATCTATCGCCTTCCTTGGAACAAGCATCTCATGCTCCGGAAGCCCTGGTGTCGGGACTGTTGCTACAGTGCGACTGCAGCGGTGAGGAGCTCCGCCTGTGTGTGCACAAGGGCAGCTGGGGCTGCCGCTTAAGAAACACGGAGACCCGTGGGTGATGGGAACATGCCAAGAAAAACCAGAAACTCAAGGGGGCAGCCACACACTGGAGCAACCACCTAGTTAGACAAAAAACAAATTCCATATTAATCCTCTACTGATGCATGAGGCAGAAGCACACACTCAGGGGCACGACAGAAGCTGATGCCAGAGGCAGTAACCCAAGTTTCCCTAAGCCGAGGATGATACCCTGCAGTCAGTACTGGGCACACCTGCCTGGTGGCAACCACGATGTTGTGCAAACAGAAATGCTTGAGAACACTTTCCATATTAAATTCCAAACAACACTTTAATATCTGAGGAAATACTGCAACAGTATAAAGACAGCGAGTTCTTCCTTTCTCAAAGCAAACAAATTTTGGAATACCAGAGTCAAATTGTGTTTTCTTCTTTTCCTGACCCTAAGTCACCAAGTAAAGATTCCATGATTAGGTCTGTGCTAGAATAAGATAGGGTGCATTGCTCCTGGGGCTAAGTTTTTGAGTTGAAAGCCACCTAGCCGCAGACTAATTTAGCTGTCCAGAGAAATCCTCAAACTGGGCCCCAAAATGAAAAGAAATGACTCACTGCTTCCTGCAGCTATCATTTGCCACTTTACATCTGAAACTGAATCTTGAAGTCAGTTCTGCAACACCACACCCCAGGGATGCTCTGCAATTGAGTTTCAAAGGCTAATAATTATGTCTGCCCCCAATTCTCTCTTTTGGAGTTCAGTTTCTGTTTTAACATCTGTTAGCAAAAGATGAACCAACCTGAGCTCAACACGCATGCCTAAAATCTCACCTACTTGGGAGGCTGAGACAGGAAGACTGCAAGTTTGAGGCTGCCTGGGCAACTTAGCAAGTACTGTCTTGAAAAAGTAAATCAATAAAAAGAGCTTAGGACTACAGCTTAGTGTAAGAGCACTTGCTTGTCTAGTACACACTGAAGCCTCGGGTTCAACCTCCCTAGTACTGAGAGGGTAGAAAGGAGAAAAAAAGAAAAAATAACAGATGAATCAACAGGTAACAACTACTTCTGCCCTGGATCTAAAAAAAAAAATTTAAAGGTGTTCATGGTAAATATGCACGTCTTTGGTGGTTATAAAGAAAATGTGAAGTACCATACTTAATCATTTTGGGCAAATAAAGTATCTCAACACCACTTGTGGCAGCACAGGATTTCAGGACAGCTCACATACCTACAAAAAGGACTACATTTTATTAATTTTAATAGACATTAATTATGATGGTCACACCAATACAATCAGATGCTGCCTTGCTTTTAAAAAAAAGACCTAGTACTGGCCCTGAATCAAGGCTGGAAGTTTCCTGATGGTGTTTCAAGCAGGAGCCTAAAGAGATGTCTTTCGATGGTCTGTTGGCCATTTCAGAATTTGGGCAGTGAAATGGTCAATTCATTAGAAAGAAACAGCTTGAAGCAATCTCTTCCCTGGCCGGTTAGCGGCTGTGAGCATGGCAGGCTCCTGCGGCCCAGGACCTGAGCCACTGGCGTTTACTGGGACCTGCACCATGCTGGGACCAAGCAACCCCTTCACCCTGCCTGTTTTGTTTGTTGAACTTTAATATACATGAAAGTATTTTGAAGAGAACGAAAGACACTATGATAGCCATTAGTGACTTCCCTATTGTCTGGTTTTGAAGACCTAAAATGCCTTCCTCATCCTGTTTGGATCAGTTTTATGAATTCTCTGTATGCGAAGACATGGGCAACTATTTGGAAAACAAGAGACAATATGATAGATAGTGAAGATCTCAGTTCGTCTAGCTTTGAAATTTATATCTCTTACATTGCTTTCTTATATCTTATTTTGTTCTGTTTTGTTGTGTTTAATTTTACCCCCTTAAAAGAAAAAGACCTAGTAAAATGCATAAATATAAATCCACACATTAAAAAATCTTTTAATTTGTGGAATTCCACAATTTTCAAATTTTAAAATCCACAGCACACCCCAAAAAGGAATAAAGCGCTTTGCATGCTTTAAAACACACCTTATATGTATCATCTCACTGATGTGTAGCTTCTCCAAGGCTTTTTAAAAGGGGTCAGGTCTGCTTACTGGGACACAAACCATACAAAGCTGTGGTTTTATAAGCACTGACAGAGGAAGTATTTTTTTAAGGAAAAAATGTATGTAGCTTGGTAACCATAAAGCACTTCTTCTAGCAGTGATCAATTAAGAAAAATCTTCTGCTCAAAATATCTACTCAGCACATTTAAAATTATATAGTTCCTGACCCTGAAATGTATTAGTGTGGGGTACTATGTATAGAAGGACATAGCAAGCACAAAAAGGCACAAGGGCCCAACCACACAACTGTAATACCCGGTGCTCACTTCCCACACAACAACTCACGAGCATCGGCCACATGATTCCTGATGCCACTGTGGTGTCATTCTCTACGGCCACAGCATAAAAACAGTTTTATAAGTCATACAATATTCACATATGTGATTTAACAAAATATTTTAAGTTTGTAAACTTCAATTTTATAAAAAGTTTTTCAAAGAAATAAAATAGGCAAACCGTCTTCCTGAAAAACACAAGATGATTAAGGCCGAAGTAAAGCTTGGCCCCTAAACTTTAGGAACCGTCTTAACAAACATGGATTGTTCATACTGTCAGCACTCCCTCACTCCTCCTCTCTTGAGAAAATTGAGGTTCTATTAACACATTTTACTCTTCTTCCAGGACTGTGATAAGAGAAATATGTGCTAAAAGAGTCTTCCAGGAAATTAAAAAAAAAAAAAAATCAAGAACAGTAGTGCAACAGAATTTTGCCACAGTTAGTGCTAAAAATCACCTTGGCTGAGAGTCACTAAACTTTCTCCACCTACTCCTGAACCTCAGTGGGTCTACATATCAGGCTCATGGAAAGCAACAGAAAGCACACTGATTAACATATTTAAGATTGTAGTGAAAACATGACGCCAATTTTGCCATGGAGAGGCCAGAAATTCACTGAATGAAAAACAAAGGCTAAGCCAACAAGTTTTAAAATGTACACACATATAAATATACTCCATGGCAAGTCCTATCGCTTCCATTGGTACATGTCATCTAAATAGAAATCAGTTAATTATGAAGTCATTTTTCCATTAATCTTTGACCAAATTTCCCTGTTCATCTGATAAATGCCTCTCTCTGGTAGCAGAGAATGAACAGTGACTATTTTGGGGTGATGGAACCGTGAGCATTTTGCTTTTCTTCCTTAACTTTTTTATAGTAAACATATCAATGATAGTTAGATAGAGAAAAAAGTGTACTTCAAATAATTCACAAAAACGTATTTCAGAGATGGAGCCCTCGCACCTAATTTCCCATTATCTTGCTGAGTAACCCTAATTTCAACTGCTGTTTCATTGATCACCAAACTCCCATACGCTGCTTCCCTTGGGAAGGCCCACCGGCTTTTCTTTTCCTTATTTAAATCAAATCCCCGGTTTAAGATTTCTACCCTCCGCTCCTGTCCAGAGATCTCTCCACCTAGGCAGATAATCACATAATGAACACACACATTGACTGATTGCGGCTGTAATGGTTTTTATCTAGATGTCCCTCCAAAGACGTCTGTGCTCACAGGTGGTGCTTCTGAGAAAGGATTGTATCACAGATGAGTGATAATTAATTAATTAAACAGCAGGTTGTCCAATTTTAAAAATAACATCCACAGCATCTATTAGCACAGGTGAATTATGAATTTGATGGCCTGCTGAGCATGCTTCAGGGACAGAAGCAGCAGAATTTGCGAAGGATACTTGGCTTGGCTTAGAGCAGAGACCAAAAAATTCAAAGAGCTTTTTCTCCACTCAAAACCTGTGCATTACATCACTGAGTAGTCTGTTCTAAACCGACTCTAAATAGAGACCTAAAATAGTTACTTTCTGGCCCTTTACTGAAAAAAAGTTTGCTGACATTGAAACAGATTGTTAATTGTAAAATATAGAGATTCCAAGTGGAGAGACTTCTTGGAAATTCTTATGCCTATCTGAGATTAAAGTCTCACAGAGAATTAGATGGAATTATGGACATATTTCCATATTTGCTTAAAAATCCAGAAAGAATGAAGAATCTTTGGTATTTCTCGATGATACCAAAGGTTAAAATAACTAAGCTTGGGAGAACATATTTTTAAAGTTGCCAGATTTTATGCTCACTATCTATTAGAGGAAGGTTTCCAGGTGGATCATGGGTTACCTACCTGTACTGAAATCATCTGGTATGTATATAAAAATGGAAGATTTTTACCACAGCCTAGCCAGTCCAACCAGTTAGGGTATGACAACAATCTAGAGATAGATACGAATCAGCTAGCAGGAATATACCCAAGGATTTCGAACTATTTTTTTCAAATAACACATACAGAATCTTGAAATCTAAAATCATGTATATGCTACTTTATCATTACATTTCTTTTTAAACTTAAAATACCTATCTTTGCAGTTGTTTAAGGTAAAAAAAGAATAAAAATGAAATTCATGTGAATGTTTGCAGGACCTTGGAAGAAGGCATGGGGACAGTCTAAAACCACGGGCTTTAATTACCCCATTTAGATCCACTGAAAAACCAGCAGAGAACAATCTAGCAATAAACGCCAGCAGCTACTGGTCCCTGTAACTCCAGATCAGTCACATGAACAAGATGCCGGATCAGCAGCCTTTCCTGTCACTTCTCTCAGCGTCCTCCTAATCAACCCAGCACTCACCCACCCCAGAACATACCACGCTAGCCAGGAACTGAGCTCTTGACATTCAGGTTACAGCCTGTCTTTCTCTGCGGCCTTAGGGGTTATCCTAGATGACTCTACTTTATTTATGGTTTATATTTCCACTACTATTTTCCCCCCTCTTTTCCTTAAATCAAAAGTCCCAGGGCCAAGGGCTCAGAGAAGCCAAAGCTAAACTAATTTCCCTTCAACAGTAAAGGCCCTTTTTTCTTCAATGAATGCAGCTTCTGAGGGCTGCCTTACAGTCTCCCTTCTGATCTGGTTGTTCAAAGCCAAGGGCAGCACAGTCAGGAAGGAGTCTACCACCAAGAAAGAAATACTCCAGGGAAAAACAACCTTCACTCAGCTATGCTGAGTCAACAGTGAGACACGGTCCCCTCTACCAAAATGCCTTATGCTCTGATAATGGTATCAGAGTTTGTACCACGGAGGCCCAACACATTCCAACAGACACCCAGGACCCTCTACATGTAGAGTTCAAATATGAGCCTGCTCCTGCTATCATGTGGCTGTCCTTACCTCCTTAGGCCTAAACCATGTTCAGGTCTGTCTTGGGACAGTGGGAGATGACATAGCTCTTTCATTTTTTGTAGGAAGCACAATGCAAGTATCATCATTTCACAAAAAATCAATTGGAAACAAAAAATTTCAATGTCCAGCTATCCTGGAACCTATTTTCAGTGGCAGAAAGTGGCCCAAAGGTTTTATTTCTATACTACACTCCAGTAGGCTGTTTTAAAAATTGCACATACAACCTAAACATAAAGGCAGCATTAGTTTTCCTTGTTATTAACTTGAAAAATAATCTTTAGCAAAGCATTTACATTAAATGCTTTAAACTGAGCAGTCATTCCTGCTCCATTTAACTAGTCCATTTAACACCAAAACGACAACATCGAGCCAAGTGTCCTGCAGATCTGCTCAGGAAATGACACCTGCTGCTGTTTACCTCCAGTACCCACAGCTGATACCACCTTGCAGCCAGTCAAGGGCGCTTCCCTGCCTTGACCGTTCCTTCCTCCAAATGAAACAGGCGCCTATGACGTGCCTGTGACTCACAAGCCTCTGCAGCCAGATGTGGAGTGTGGCCCCAGGTTGTTGAGGTTGCTGATCACAGGTAAGGCTGGTTTTAGATCCCAGGTGGCAGCCAGGTCATGGCCTCGGGGGGCTGACTCAGCGACCAGACTGCTATTTCTGAGTGTCAAACTGCCTGAGGATCCCACACACCTAAATTACTCAAAAAATACGGACTCTTATGCTTGTTAATGGTCCCCCCACAAAACCTTTTGGTCTGAAATGAATGTAGGTGGTTAATCACATGACATAGGGAAAATCCACTGACACAAAGGGTGTGATTTGTAACTGAAAGTATTTGTGACTTGGTACACAAATACAGATCTTGCTTTATAGCAGGTTTAGTTAAATTAGATGCTATATGTATTAATCATTAATAGCTACCACATGCACAGAAAACCACATTAGTGAGTGATGTGGCTATAAAGGTCTACATGATACAGTTCCTCACCTAAAACTCAAGAGAGAAAAAAGTTAGGACTATAATCTTATACTGAATCATTCTTTATTGTTGAGAAGTCCTCTGCCATCTACCTATTAGATCACTTAGCAAAGAACTGGATCTTGGTGCAGGCCTAGGCTAAGAACTCCTTTCTGCAACTTCTAAGAACATA